GCTCCCTATCGCGGCGTGCTCTCATGGAAGCGGTTAACAAACGCCGCCAGCCATACCCAGCTACACGCTTTTATTCCCCATCTCGCTTTCCCTGTAGCACGGCCGCGTCTCTCAGAGATAACCGTTCTTTGTAGGGCTTTTCATTTTATTGCTTGAGCATCGCTAAGTGGTTGGTAACCCCAAACTCATGAACAGGAGTATCATGAGATACTTACTGTTGTCTTCACTGATCCACGAAGGTGTTTTCCACACCCAGCTGATTAGAGACGAACAGAAAGCAGGTCTCGACTGTGGTCATGCAATATAATTACAGAAAATTAAATTCTGCATGCATGCTAATTAAAAACAAATATTCTAGAAATTCAATTAGGTCTCCACGTGCAGCCACTGTCACTAATACATCTCACCTCAACAATAAGTTAGAAGTTGATTTACCGTGATTAATATTTTGGCACCAACAGCCATGTACAAAGCTCAGGAGATTTCAGCTGCCTCTCAGCCCATCACGCAGCTCATCTTTTGGAAAACCTAGTATAATTACCCAAACTCCCTCAATTTGAGATTCAAACCAGGCCAAAGCTGTCCTTTAGCGACAAGAAGTCTGTTTAATCACTACAAGTCAAGCTAGGCTGACAATTAAGCTGCAGTTGCGTATAAGGAACAAGCTCTACGTTTTCCATAATTCCATACCAGGTTTAGATTGCAGAAAGATCTGTCATTCCAAACTATTTAGTTGGCCTTTTAACAAAATCTGATCTGTGAATACAAACACAGTAAAATATTTCACCTTGATATAGGTAAGCACAGTTTCTGGCTATGGTATTAATAGAAACCAGAACTGAAATCACTTTTTTTAATTTAAGAAAAGATCAAAGGCAAACCACATTAAAAGCATCTATTTTTTACATAGAAATAACTTATTTAGGAAAAGATGAAAGATTCAGCTTGTTATTGCCTCAATATGACAAAGGAAACTCGATTTCAGGCTATACTAATTTTTAAATATTCCTAAGTATGTGTCTAGAAAGACAGAATGGAGGAAAGCACGATTATCAAAACGTGGTAATACAGGTTCAGTACATTGACAACCAGCTTTTGTTTTTTTACATATGAAAATTTAATAAATGGAAAATTTACGTGTGCCTGATTCCTTTCTCTGCTTTGACATCAGACCTTACTTCCAACCTGAGTGTGTTCCAGCAAAATACAGCAGCCCTCACAAGATTGCAGCGATAGCTGTTGGGTAACAGACATGAATCGAAATCCATTTGGGTTGAAGATAGTCTTTTAAAACAAAAACAAATCTACGAGAATAATCCTATTGTGTAACCACTTTCAGTATTCCTCGGAGAACTTTGTAACTCATTAGTTGTTGGCTTTCTTTGGGAGGAAAGCAGGGGCCACGTTCTGTAACATATGCATAAGGAAATCTGAGAACCCACAGTCCGTCAGATGGGAGGGTTATCTCCTGCTTCTCAGGGTAAAATATAGGGCAAGGTGGTGGCCCTGGTTGAACCTGAAATGAAAAGGAAGTATGAGTAGATAATGAAACATCATTAGAATCTTTTTGAAAAAAAGCAAACAAAACAACAAAAAAAGTTATGCCAGAAAACCACTGTGCTGTTCCTGTGAGACATCCAGACATCTCCAGTTTTACCACAGTAAAGATGTTAAATTTAAGGCTGCAGATTACATCCTACCAAAGAGATCCCCAATACAAACACAAGCCATTCACCCCTTGGGGCATTAACATTGGATTTCACTACTGCACCACAGTTATCCATCCCTGAGCTCCCTCTAAACCAATGAGAATTTTCGAGGATTTCAGCAACATTTAGTAGGGCTCATACTAAAGCTTCAGAAAGTCTTATTCACATGAGAAACTGATGTATGACAGCCACACCACATAACATCATGGATGTTCCTAATAAAAACACTCCCTTTGAAATCAAAAGCTGTGATACAGATGTAAGCTGGGAATGAAGAGCAAAGTAAGTATCAGCACAAAATGAACCTTAAATTCTTGCCTCAGTTTCAAACAATAACATGATAAATTGCAAACTGCATTGAAAATTTGGTGCTGCTGTCAGGTTTCAGTCAGTATTCTGCCCTTAACTTCCACAGCAAAGCAGGCTCTTACGGAGCTTTTTCTCCATTTTTTTAATACATATTTTAAAATGGGAAATAAATATCCAATTAAAAAAACAACACATTTAAAATTATATATTCATTCTTATTATTAGCCACTTGTTCTCTTTTTTCAAAAGCAGCAATTATTACAGTATGGAATGCCATTAACTCATCCTTGATAAAGTATTTTTTAAAGCTTACTTCACTCAAAGTGTAAAGCTGCCATAAGCCAAACTTGAAGTTTAAAAAGAACCAAACTGTGTATGAAACAGCTACTTTTGGTGACTACTGCCTTAGAGAATTTGACTGAAGTAGGTTTTGAGTCAGGAGTCGTCTCCTGTAGCATCCATCTGACACCCTTTGCCTACCACCCTTGTGCTTTCCAGTCCTGCAATTAATGCTGCACCAATTAACCCTGTCTGCACTCACCAGATTCCCTCTTTCATTTCTTACCTGAGGCGTTAGTGTAATTTGCAGCGGAGCATCAGGAACCACTACGAAGAGCCTCATGAACTGAGCGTAATGTGGTTTCAGTCCTCGTCCCTGCGTTGAGGACAGGATGTACAGTGGCATGTCAGAATTGAGGGCTTTGATGGCAGATTCCTTTGGCCCCCCTCCCATCACTTTCATGACCTTATCAGGCCCTGAACACATGAACCTCCTTCCACGTGCATCTTCATATTCAAATCCTACAAAAGCTCGGGCTATGTCATCTCTCCGTCTTCCTCTTCCCATCACAACCGTGCTTCTTTTTCCAGGCACAGCCTTGTTAGGTGCAGGCCAGGAATTGGTATCTAAGTCTCCTTCATCTTCAGTTCTTGTCCTGATGACAATGTCCCAAGGCATTAAGTAGTTTGTTCCTGGGATAAACCCTTGTTGATCTAAGCCTGTGTGGAAATTATAAGCCTTAGCAGGCCCCAGCTTAACCAGTGACCAGCTGGAGAACTTGGGCAACAGGCCTTTAGGGCAATTGGAGTGGAGCATCCCAGGGAGGTACTCGACAGTGGAGGCCTGGCGATCAACCAGACTCGGCCTTTTCTCACTTTTGGAGTCCCCGCTCTGCCCATGACTTTCTGTGTTGTCCCCTCCACCCTGGGCATCGGGTGGGAAAGTGCCCAAGCTGCCCGTCGACTGGCCCAGGCTGAGGGCTAAGCTCAGGCCTGTGCTTTCCCCCTGAGTCTGAGGTTCTTTTTCTTTGAGTTTTTCAATCTCGCCTTCTGGAGGGGCAGGCGACGACTCATCCCGAGCAGGCGCTGGATCAGGTGTGCTTGGCTGGAATACAGGAAAGTTGATGTGCTCCAGTTTCCCACAGCATTTTTCTTCCAGCAGCTGTGAGAAAGAAAACGTGGTTAACTTTCCATCAACCACTTCTGAGATGTGAGAGTTCAGTCATAACATGCAGCAGCTACAGTTAAGATTCAAGAGGTTTGCGCTATGTGACAACCAAAGCAGCGATGGGAATGCAGCCCACAGACACAATGAACTTAGAATTTACATGGACCAACACACTTGAAGTGTAGACAGACGCTTCTGTGTGCATGCACTGGTGAAGACTGGAACTGCCTGCTCTTGTCAGCCATCATGCAAACGGTTTCTGCTCCCAGAGGTATCTTCCCTAAGCAACATTTACAAGTTGATAAGGTTAAGAGAAAATACAGATTTTGTCGATGAAGGAAAAGCACTGCTTGAAGCAAAAATAGGGACCTAATAGTTACCTGGTAGAAGTCATAATTAGCTGCTTTGATATCAAAGGGATCGTCCCGTGGAGCTTGTTTCCTTCCACAGTTACAGGCACCAGTGGAACGAGCCCGGCTGTTGTGGTACAGAACTGGAGGATTTCTGTCTGCTTCTGGCTTTTCTCCTAAAAGCAAAATCAATCAAACCCCAGGTGAATTGCTCCCAATTTCTGGAGATTCTTTAGTTCCCTTCATCTACTGTTTCCTCCTTGCTATATACATAATTATTTGCCAGCAACGCCAGTTTGTCAAGCAACACATTCCTTTCCCACTTTAAATACAAAGTTCCAGTGTAGTACCATTAAACTGAACTTTCTTTGGTTTTACAGCCTTTTCATAAAAGGCATAAATACTTCTTCTGCCTGCAGTGAACACGTATCAGTTAGTTTTTACTCCTTGACTGGTATCAGTCAAGCTATTTGAGGGGTGGCACTTATAATTCCTAGTGAACTTTTGTTCTTTTACACATTTGCTGTTAGGAGGACTACAGTGTAACACTTCTAATTAGAGGGATGAAATCAGAGTTACTACTAAAATACAAATTACTACTACCAGTGGACTTGCTCCTAAACAATACTCAACATAAAGGAAACCTGCACAACAGCTCTGCTGTAATTAATCCCACTGTAAGAAGATGACACTTTAAAGCTGCCAAGCTTTCACCTTCCATAAATATGCAGAGTCAGCGTTTTCAGCCTAAAATATTTTAAAGCAGGTATAAAATTAAGCCATGAAACCCAAGTGAGCTTTCTTTACCTGCTTTTGGGAGCAGATGAAACTTATGCACGCAGTGTTGGTCAGTTAAACTTCTCTCTTCGCAGAGCTGATGCCCGTTGCTCCAGAACTTGTAGCAGTCCTCATTCAGCTGCATGGCATACTTATGAAAGGCCGGGCCACGGGCATGCTGGCTGTACACACGCAAGGCCTGTGCCAGCTGGTTCTTGTGGACTGTCATGGTGTAGTTGTGGGGCAGATTGGACTGATAGGCGCTGTGGGCCATGGGGAGAGCTTTCTGGCAACGGTTTTCAGAGAATTTGGTGTCTATATCTAAATAGCCTTCCAAGACTTTGATGCTGCCCATGATCTTTGAGCTCAGCTCCCCAGTGGTCAGGTCATCATCTTTGCCTTCAATGGTCACTTCATACAGTTTTAAAGCTGCAGCGGCCCACTTCTGGTAGGTTGGGAGCTCAAAGTGAGAGGGCTGTGGGTTCCTCCCCACGCTGTCATCGAAGCCCTTCTTGCTGAGCACCAGCTCCACGTGCTGCCACAAGAACTCCTTAAGGGTGCAGTCCACAAGCTGCCCAGAGGAGCTGGAGCTGCTGCTGCTGCTCTCTGCATGGAAGGAGAGCTGCTGCCTGCCATGCCGCATCATCTGATACCTCCTGGGTCCTGACAGTGTGGGAGCCAGCAGTGAGTCAGTCTCTCTCATGGTGCAGTTGTTCCTGAGTTGGTCAAGAAGCATGGCCACCGGATCGTCTCCATCCAGGACCCCACCAGCCACAATGTACACAAACGCCTGGTTAGCAGGCACGGTGAACAGGCAGTTGATGCTCTGGTTGGTTAACACCCTGCTCTTGCGGAAGATGCGGTAGATCTGATCCTCCAGAGCATGCTGCAGCCTCCTCTTGGGAGAGTGCTTCTTGGGGGGTGGCTTTTCCAGGTGACCACAGGGGTCCTGGCCCCTGCTTGGGAGGGGATCCACCTTCAAGGCTCCGTTGAGCTGAAAGAGGAAGAGGAGGCGTGGAGGGCAGGGCCTGCAGTTAAGCTTCCATTCCTTGCCAATCGGGCAGTCTTTGATAGCAGCCTTCAGGGAGGGCAGGACCTTCTGCCGCAGCCCATCCAGCGCCCTGAAGACGCGGTCATAGGTAATATCGAAGGAGCAGGTGGGGTGCACCAGCAGCAGAATGTGGCAGACAGAGAAGAGGTAGAGAAGGCTCAGGCAGTGCAGCTTCTCCTGGTGCTTCCAGAACTCGTGGGCCTCAGCGTGGGACAGTGGGGAGGGGCCACCGGAGGGATGGCCGGGCCGGAGTGATGGCCGGGCCCGGTCTCCCTTCATTCGGCCGCCGCCAGGTCCCCGCATGCCCGCAGCAGCTGCGGCGTGTCACAGATGGAGGTGAGCACCAGGAACAGCACCCGGTTCTCCTGGCTGTAGTAGGCCTGCAGCTGGTTGTAGTCCTTGGCGGCCGGGTCGACATCGTCCCCCAGGGCGCCGTCCGCCAGGTCGAGGTCGTCCTCCTCAAAGAGGGGGAAGACCTGTCGGTCGCACACGGTGCTCACCAGGGTC